TATTGCGTTGTACTGAGTCTCACTAAGTGGCGGTGTATTAATTAAGATACTCCGTCTGGGCTTGCTTATGCTTGTAAGAGTTGGACTTAGGGTTTGCCTCTAACTAACAATAACACTCTTACAAAAATCCTTCACCGTTTATAACCTTAATTAGTACTCTGCCTACGTGCAAGTACTAAAGAAACGGAATTGAAGTTAGAAGACTCAAAATGCCAAGTTTAACCGGACCGGAATTATATTTACACAACGAGATATGCAATTTGATAAGGAATAAAAAATACACACTCATCTGGATGTGAGACGGCTGTCGGCTCGTAGAGTGTACTAGGTGAAAGTACAGCGAGAGAGCGAGACAGTAACCGTACAGGAGGAACCGGAGTACGAAGCGGAAGTGGAAGTGAGGTTCAACATGTCAGGTTGCATTCATTCAAACAAAAGTTCAAAGGTACAATGTACACTACAGGTTATCCCCCCCTTAGAAGGTTGGTGGGATAACAGCAAGCTTCGATATATAAAAGTAACAAGGTGGCGTACAATCACGGTGAATGAACAAGAAAATGTGAAGATAGTAATAAAATAGCTGTTTTTCTTCTTTTTTTTTTAAAAAAAAATATATATTGAGAAAGGAAAGAATGAAGGAAAAAAAAATTAAGGCAATTTATGAGCACTATGTACATGATCGCTGGAGTAAGATGGAATATAAGAAGGAATAACGCTGGTGCCTTGGTGCGATTTTTTTTTGAACATCGTTTATTTATACGTATCTTTTTTATTTTTTTGTTTTTATTTTATTTATTTATTTAGTTTTTTTTTTTGACGACTCACTAATACGAGCTGGGTTATGTGGAGGTGTGATGGTTTACCTCCGTTACCCACGTTGTTATAACTGGAAGGTGACTCATTATGTCTAAGTTTCCTCTTAGACTAATGCTCCATCCTTCCTCATCAACTAAAACTAGTAGTAACACCAAAGGCAATCAATATACCAGCGTATTAGGAGGAATAAAGTAAAAGCAACAGAAAAGAATAGAAGAAGAGGTTGAGATTTAAAAATCAGCATAGGGTGTTAACAAAAAAAATTAAGCGGAATAAATGCGAAGGAACTAGTGTAACATGGAAACGGTACGCCAAATTGAAATAAAACAAGGGAAATTGCTAACACTGTGGAAACTTATGCAAGGTACAGAGAAGAGTGTGTACAACCAATAGCTATGAATAAGTATAATCACCATTTGTTAAAAAAAAATGTAGCGAGCTGCATAATTAAAGTGATGCAAAGTAATTACAAGTATGGGTCACAAAATAAATAAGTTTCGTCATGACATAACTCGAGTGAAAATAGTAAGATCTGTGAAAATAGATTGAGCGGATTAAACTGTACAGCATAGAAGTGACGTATTTACATACCAAAAATATTTCACGGTCCGTTTAACTATACAGTGAAAGTTTTTGTTTTTACATTTTATTATTTTTTATTTATTTTATTATTTTTTTTTTATCGGGTCCATATTTTTGGTCGTTTGGTTTGTAATTCCACGAGTGTTGGTAGTCACCATACGACGATAGAGTTGATTGATGTAGTTAGCTGTCCGAGTGTAAGGCCGAAAATAAAATGCTAGAACACTCTGTAAAGAGAAAGAAATCTAACAAGGTTAGTAACTGTAAAAGCGGCTACTGCCCACAAACTAAATCAAAAGGGTAAATCACATGGAAAATAAATGTAAACTGCGACAAAGAAAGAAAAAAAAAGAGAGTATGAACTACTCTTATACGTAAAAGTGTTTAGTTAACGAATTCGCAGTATCGCTTAGGCCAGTGCACACGCCGACCGGCGCGTGTAACTGTTGCCTTACCTGTCTCATCCGAGGAACTGCTAGGTTTAGCAGGATTGTTGACCATCTGACTTGGCTGGGGTGTGAGTGCGGGCGTAGTTGCCGGTTGCGTAGGCGTCAGGGGTACCGAGTCTTCCATGTAGGCCGCTTTAAGTCGGTCTACACTTACGGTGTCTTACCGGCCAAATCGATCAATAACAAAAAATTTTTCTTTTCTACTGACGACCTTGAATGGTCCATCGTAAGGAGGTTGTAGGGGTCTACGGACGGTGTCACAACGCACAAAAACGTGGGTACAGCCATCGAGTCTAGCGTCTACTTGCACTCTCCTGTTTTGTGTGCGAGTGGGAGTTGGTTGCAGGCGTTGCATAAGGCGCTTGAGGTTCTGAGCATAACCCTGTACATCCGTAGCACCTGGTTCACCACTTTCAGGTGAGATAATTTCACCCGGTAGACGGAGGGTGGTACCAAACACCAACTCTGCGGAAGTGCACTGTAAGTCTGCTTTGAGTGTGGAACGGATACTAAGTAGCACTAGGGGAAGAGACTCAGTCCACTTAGTATTCTCTGTAGCCATTAACGAAGCTTTCAGTTGACGGTGAAAACGCTCCACAAGTCCATTTGCTGCTGGATGGTACGCGGTTGTTCGGATGCGTTTGCACCCCAGTAGCTCTAAGAGCTTCTTGAAGTGGGTTGATTCAAACTGCTGTCCACGGTCTGTAGTCACCGTAGATGGACATCCGAATTGAGATACCCAGCGTTCCATTAACACTCGGCAAATGGTTTCCGCAGTCGTATCGGGGATGGGAATAGCTTCTGGCCAACGAGTGAACCTGTCGACACATGTCAACAAGTAACAGTGACCATTTGATGGTGGTAGAGGACCCACTATGTCTAGATGAACGTGGCTAAAGCGAGCGTCGGGTGTGGAGAAGGAACCCACTGGAGTGATGTTGTGCTTGTGGACTTTAGCCCGTTGACACGGCACACAGGCACGTGCCCAGATACGCACGTCTCGATTGATACCAGGCCAGACAAATCTAGCTGACACTAGTTTGTCCGTTGCCCGGATACCTGGGTGGGAAAGGTTGTGTAGGCTATCAAAAACTGTACGGCGCAATGAAGGTGGAACGATGGGTCTCGGGGTACCGGTGGACAGATCACAGAGGATGGTACCCTCGCTATTAACGAGCGGGATACGCTTGATATGTAAGGAGGTATTTGACGACAGCTTATCAAGGTCTAACTCTGTAAGCTGACGTTGCGCCATTAGTTTCAAGTCAATGGTTGGAGGCGCCGATATGGTACATATCCGAGACAAGGCGTCTGCCACAGCATTGTCAACCCCCGAAATATGTCTAATATCCGAGGTGAATTGAGAGATATAATCCAAGTGACGCAGTTCGCGTGGGGAATATCTATCCGTAGCAGTGTGGAGGGCATACGTCAGTGGCTTGTGATCGGTAAATACTGTGAATTTCCGACCTTCAACAAAGTGGCGAAAATGTTTGATAGCCGCGTATATGGCGAGGAGTTCTCTGCCAAAGGTGCTATACCTCGCTTCAGCGGCGGACAACTTCCGGGAGAAAAAGGCGACTGGTATCCATGAAGTATGTACCAGTTGCTGTAGAACAGCTCCAATGGCTGTGTTAGATGCGTCGACTGAGATGCTAAGTGGAAGATGGACGTCGAGGTGGACTAGCATGGTGGCGTCTGCAATTGCCGACTTTATATTCTGGAAGGCTTCTCGAGCCTCCGATGTCATGTTGAACGTTTTGTTCCTACCCTTTAGTAGGTCTGTGAGTGGCAGTAAAATACGTGCACATTGGGGAACGAACCGTCGATAATAGCTCACCATGCCGAGAAATGTGCGTAAAGATTTCATTGACACAGGTTCCGGGAAGTCGCGTATTGCCTGTACCTTCTCAGGTAGCGGGCGAATTCCCTGCTCATTAATGACATGTCCCAGGAAGGTCAATGAATGGACGCCAATCTGACATTTGGACATGTTTAGCGTCAAACCATGGGCTGTTAGCCGCTCGAAAACCATCTGGAGATGCGTACGGTGGCTAGCTTCGTCTGGGCTAGCCACGAGAATATCGTCGAGGTAAGCATGTGCGCAATCTAATCCTCGCAAAACATCGTGAATAAACCGCTGGAATGTTTGTGCGGCGTTGCGGAGTCCAAACGGCATTCGAAGAAATTCGAAAAGACCAAACGGGGTGATCACTGCCGTCTTAGGAATATCATCTGGGTGAACTGGAATCTGGTGATAGGCCCTGGTTAAGTCAAGTTTACTGAATACCGTGGCACCCTTGAGAGACGACGTAAGGTCGTGAATATGTGGTACGGGGTAACGATCAGGTACGGTCTGTGCGTTAAGCCTGCGGTAGTCACCACAAGGCCTCCAATCTATCCCGTTAGGTTTTGGTACCACGTGTAAAGGGGAAGACCACGGGCTGCTGGAAGGACGGATTATCCCCATCTCTAACATGTGTTCGAATTCAGCCTTCACGGCTTGTAGTTTTTCTGGGGACAATCGCCGTGGCTTAGCGAAAACCGGTGGACCAGTGGTCACGATATGATGAGTGACAGTAGACGTCACACAAGGAAGTTTAGAAACCGGTTTGAACAGATTGGCAAAGGACTGAAGAAGTTCAGCGTAAGGGCCGTCAGAGGCAGGGGTTGAGTATACTGGGCTTAATGCAGGTGTGTGTGTCGCAACACCGGAGATCGAAAGGCTTGTAGCTGAATCGATCAGTTTGTGTTTGCCAGTATCAACCAGTAGCTGATAGTGTTGCATGAGATCCATGCCAATAATACCGGTAGTTACATCTGCTACAAGGAAAACCCAGCGAAATGACCTACGTAGGCCTATGTTAAGGTCCAGGAACTTTTTGCCATACGTTGCGATTGGCGAACCATTTGCGGCGCGAAGCTGTAAGGAAAGTGGCCGCTTGCGCTCTTCAGATGTTGGTGGGATCACGCTAACTTCCGCCCCAGTGTCAACTAGGAAGCGTGTCCCAGTGGTACGGTCGGTAACATAGAAGAGGCGACATGGAAGTGGTTCGCCAGCAACGTTAGTCGCCAATACGTGCTGGCTTACAGGTTTCCCGATTGCTGGCCATCAAAGGTGCACGGGCGAGTGCACTTTTGGGCCTTCTCGACATAACGCCGGTGATACCAGCACACTCCAGGCTGGGAATTTTTAGGCCTACGACGTCTGCTGCCAGCTCGTGACGAAGATCTGCCACGAATCGAACTGGTACGGCTATGTGAACGACCTCTAGATCTCCTATCGAGTTTTAACTTATCTATCTCTTCGTACAGCTTATTGAGGTGAGCCACCACATCAACGTTGGATGACTCCACGGCAGAGGAGGTCCTAGTCTGCGTGGAACTAGCGGTAACGGCAGCCGAGATACTCATGTTTGATGTAGTAGTCTCTACTACTCTATCGGCTGCCTCAGCTAGCTCAGATAAGGGGGAATGGTTGATTGGGGCTAAAATAGTCTGAATTGTCTGGGGTAACCGTTGTAACCACAGCTGTTTCAAGAAGGCGTCATCTATTTTGAAGTCGGCCACCAACTGCCTCATTTGACGTAACAGTTGGGTGGGCTTTCTATCACCTAGGTGGACATCTCGGAATAGCTCCTGCACTTTCTGTTGTTCGGTAAGTGCCACGCGCTTAATAAGCGCCTGCTTGAGACGCTCGTACAAGCCCGGGGATCGGTCCGCAAGGACATCAGATACATCTTCCATGACGTGCTCAGGAAGACTTACTATAACGAGGTTCACCTTAGTCTCCTGTGAGTGTATATTACGAAGTGCGAACATAGCCTCGATGTGTTCGAACCATCGGGCAGGATGCTGAGTCCAGAAGGTGGGGAGTTGCAAGGTAATAGCCATTTCTGAGGCGGGACTGGCGTCAATCATTTTGCACACGAGACGATATATTAATAAAATGACAACAAATATGATAACAACAAAAAATACGAGTAAAAACAAGACAAATAAAAATTTACAACTCTGTATGACAAACAAATTACCAATATGAAAAAGGACTATTTACACGCTAGGCTAAAAAGTAGGCAACGGTGAAAATTCGGGCTCACCACTTGTAAGAGTTGGACTTAGGGTTTGCCTCTAACTGACAATAACACTCTTACAAAAATCCTTCACCGTTTATAACCTTAATTAGTACTCTGCCTACGTGCAAGTACTAAAGAAACGGAATTGAAGTTAGAAGACTCAAAATGCCAAGTTTAACCGGACCGGAATTATATTTACACAACGAGATATGCAATTTGATAAGGAATAAAAAATACACACTCATCTGGATGTGAGACGGCTGTCGGCTCGTAGAGTGTACTAGGTGAAAGTACAGCGAGAGAGCGAGACAGTAACCGTACAGGAGGAACCGGAGTACGAAGCGGAAGTGGAAGTGAGGTTCAACATGTCAGGTTGCATTCATTCAAACAAAAGTTCAAAGGTACAATGTACACTACAGGTTATCCCCCCCTTAGAAGGTTGGTGGGATAACAGCAAGCTTCGATATATAAAAGTAACAAGGTGGCGTACAATCACGGTGAATGAACAAGAAAATGTGAAGATAGTAATAAAATAGCTGTTTTTCTTCTTTTTTTTTTAAAAAAATATATATATTGAGAAAGGAAAGAATGAAGGAAAAAAAAATTAAGGCAATTTATGAGCACTATGTACATGATCGCTGGAGTAAGATGGAATATAAGAAGGAATAACGCTGGTGCCTTGGTGCGATTTTTTTTTGAACATCGTTTATTTATACGTATCTTTTTTATTTTTTTGTTTTTATTTTATTTATTTATTTAGTTTTTTTTTTTGACGACTCACTAATACGAGCTGGGTTATGTGGAGGTGTGATGGTTTACCTCCGTTACCCACGTTGTTATAACTGGAAGGTGACTCATTATGTCTAAGTTTCCTCTTAGACTAATGCTCCATCCTTCCTCATCAACTAAAACTAGTAGTAACACCAAAGGCAATCAATATACCAGCGTATTAGGAGGAATAAAGTAAAAGCAACAGAAAAGAATAGAAGAAGAGGTTGAGATTTAAAAATCAGCATAGGGTGTTAACAAAAAAAATTAAGCGGAATAAATGCGAAGGAACTAGTGTAACATGGAAACGGTACGCCAAATTGAAATAAAACAAGGGAAATTGCTAACACTGTGGAAACTTATGCAAGGTACAGAGAAGAGTGTGTACAACCAATAGCTATGAATAAGTATAATCACCATTTGTTAAAAAAAAATGTAGCGAGCTGCATAATTAAAGTGATGCAAAGTAATTACAAGTATGGGTCACAAAATAAATAAGTTTCGTCATGACATAACTCGAGTGAAAATAGTAAGATCTGTGAAAATAGATTGAGCGGATTAAACTGTACAGCATAGAAGTGACGTATTTACATACCAAAAATATTTCACGGTCCGTTTAACTATACAGTGAAAGTTTTTGTTTTTACATTTTATTATTTTTTATTTATTTTATTATTTTTTTTTATCGGGTCCATATTTTTGGTCGTTTGGTTTGTAATTCCACGAGTGTTGGTAGTCACCATACGACGATAGAGTTGATTGATGTAGTTAGCTGTCCGAGTGTAAGGCCGAAAATAAAATGCTAGAACACTCTGTAAAGAGAAAGAAATCTAACAAGGTTAGTAACTGTAAAAGCGGCTACTGCCCACAAACTAAATCAAAAGGGTAAATCACATGGAAAATAAATGTAAACTGCGACAAAGAAAGAAAAAAAATGAGAGTATGAACTACTCTTATACATGAAAGTGTTTAGTTAACGAATTCGCAGTATCGCTTAGGCCTTAGTTAATTTTAAACATACAGAACGGCAAATAAAACCCGCCAAGGAAATGGACATTAAAGTCATTTCATCAATTGGTGCCATACTAAATGCTTACCATGAGCTATTTTCGCTGGAGTTTACCTTCCCAGCATAATAATACTCTCCAAATTTCCATTTTCCGTAGATCCAAGGTTCATCTACAATCAAAAACAAACAACGACAACAACAAAAGAAGGAGTAAAATAGAGCAAAAACAGAGTAAGCCATCAAATGCAGGATGAGATGACCGTTGTTTTTAGGAACCTCCAATCAAAGAGGATACTTAAAAAGCATAACTCTTTCAAAGACTAACCACTATCCAGGGGTAATTCACAGTGAAATTACATCTCCGTCCTCTTATTTTAACCAAAAACTGGAACTAATCACAGTCCATACGCTAATATCACTCTCCTTGAAAGATGAATGTTTCCTCTGGTGTCGTTAGAGTGTTTGCAGAAGTTCGCAACTGGATTATGAGAAATACATGTCAGTATCAGTAACCGAAGTCATTTCAATAACATATAAGTGTTATCTTTCTTTCCATAGCTGCTGCATTATTCCTACTATACATACATACACGCACATGCACAGCGCCAAATGTAACAGTGGAACTTGAGCACTGTAGTAGAATATGACTACACATTAGGCAAGTTCATCTAATGTAAGTGGATGACATAACAAGCAAACTTTACTGCCCATATCGCATATCAAGGTGTTCGGATAAAGATAACATACGATAATACATACACACAGTGTTCGCATATATAACTCGACAGAGTCATCTCTGTTCGATTTTACTTGTCTATTTATAAGGAAACTAACTACTCGAAAGGAACCAGCCAACAAACGACGAACTGTAAGAAACTGTGTCACAATTTGACTGCAGCTTATTAGCCTGGACTGTTACAACCACGCATGCATTTTGCCAAATATTACAACCCAACAGTGACTACATTCATCCAGACATCTAGCTGATGAAAATAAAGTTAAGTGGATTTTGATTACTGAAGCAGAGATCAAACACTCTATTGATTGGCTAGAGCAAATTAGACTCTGAAGAACGCTGTGATAATGCTATTTAGTGCGTCATGTTTCAGTGATACATGCGTCCTACATGCTTTAAACTACTAATGACGCATAGAGATCACCATTTATTTGGCAGTTTTTATTTCTCATAGCCAGGTGAAGACCCTAGCAGAGAACAGAACGCAATGGAGACGCACGGCTGAAGCCCTATGTTCCTGTAGGAATTAAAGGATACAACAATAATAATAATAATAATTTCTCATAGTATACTAGAGACCAAACAACAAAAAATGCAGTATGACCTCTGCAACGAAACATCAGCTTAAATTCGCGGAAGCTTTCCTTCGTTAATTTTCTCTCGTCTCCAGTCGTCATATGCAGTGTCCAGAAATGCCTTGAGTGCAAAATACCATCTGCCCGGGTAGAAGATAATCGCTTCCTTTCAAAGTCTGAAGATTCAAGACTATAATTCACTGACACAACGAATCAGTCAGAGAATTTTTTCAGACCTGGAATATGTGGGTGAAAACATGGGGCAATTAATTGCCCGCTCGACGGCTAGTGAATTCTCAATGCAAACTTTAGACTCATTAATCTGAGTTTCCTCAGGTTTATATTTCACAAAATGACAAGAGAAAGGAGCTTAAGGATCAGACTAACACGGTGGATTTGAATTAGAGCAACCTTCGCACTCACGCAATCGCGATCCAGCTCCGTCCATTTCGAATTAACCGCGCCACACACTAAAGTGTCTTAACGCTGTGCTGAATCCAATTTCCAATATCATATTTTGCGAGCTGAAGTAAACCAATTCGATTTCTTTGTGCTCGCCTCTCGGTTGTGTAGTAAAGGTACCTGTTAGTCAGTAGACGTTTGCGTAGTTCGATATGAGGGAAGAACATTCTTCCCAGTAAATTCTCCTAATGTGATTATAAGTGTTAAATATAATACTTATCGTTAAAAATAGACTTTCAATCCATGACATGAGAATATTTTGCACTATTGAGTCTTATAATCCCCATGAGTATCCTGTTGAGGACAATGTGTTCAGTGAATTCCGAAAGCTCATCGTGTGACTCCCCGAATCAAGAATATGTGGTGAATTTATAGAGAATTGTATCCAGAATAATTGATATCCCAACATTCCCTTGAAATATGTGTGCATGCGTCCTAATGAACAGACTAGTTTATAAGATGTTAAACCCTTAAAGAGTAAAAAGAATAGGTTTCGTGAATACTGGAGAAAGATTCAGCAGAACACTATAGTTAGAGTTCAATGTAGGTAGTATGAACTGAAGGTAAGGTCGGTTGGCAGGACTTATTGTACTAAATTATCATGAAAGTCTTTTATATAGTAAACATTTTACATTGCAAAGTAACCTGTCTACACATATTATAAAAAGATATTATACAGAACCAACAGAAATTTAACATCTGGTTAACAGTACTGCAGTTTGTGTATACTGAAGGAGCGTAGTTAGTCTTACAGGGAGTCGTAAAGTAAATCAAACTATGTATGATAAGAGTGTAATCAATATTATAATTCGTATCATCAAAAAATACATTAAGCTCAGTAATTGAGTGTTATAAGGGAAACAAGCGTGGTACAGAAGGAGAACATTTGCTGCATAAATATTTTAATCATTTTCAGTATTGTAATGACAATTAAATTTCAAGAATTGATTATGCATAAATACTAAGTATTATTTTATTAGTATTGGGACCAGTGTGCTTTCCATAGTTAAATATTGAAATGTCATTGTCTCACCACTCTACCAGCAGTTGTCATCTTTTAGACGGTTAGGGTGGACATGTTAATATGTTTTTCTAGGCTCCTTTTAAAACTGTCAGGCTTTTCACAGGATCTAATCTGAGAGGGTAGTTGGTTCCAAAGTTTGCAATATTTAATGGTGAAAAAGTTAGCTCTAGTGGTGACTTCATGGGTGTTAACCTTGAGAAGGTAGTCATGGTTGCGTAGTTCATACGATTTAAGATTAGCCCACGTTGTGGATGAGTTACTGTTACGGGGCTTTCTTATAACTTTGAATAAGAGAAACTTTTTATTATCTTTTTATTTTGATTACAGCTTGATGCCACACCGTATTTTCAGTACAAGTATGGAATTTTCAGCATGTGATATCGGTAGCCCAAATTTTGCAGGCCGACCATAGACATCGGGTGTGCGTCGGCAGGGGATCGAACTCTCCTTAACCATAAGGGTTCTAAGTCCAGTCGAATACATCTGTCAAGGTATTCTATTTGCTGATCATAACCTAATATGCGTTTCGTCAGGGATCTTTGGACACTTTCAACTTTTTTTCTGTCTGCTGATTTAAAGCTACTGTATAAGTGGGCACAGTATTCAAGTATACTCAAGTATGCAAGAGGTGGTGGAGTGGCAACCTTCATTCATTCTCGGTGGTCAACATCAAATAATGTATGTTTTTCTTTCTCCAGTGACTTTATTGATTGTATTACAGTCAAACGTCGTCCGAAACACTTATCCAAGTGTAATTAAGACTTAATCTCAAACATTTATTTTACTACTGGCTGTTTTGTCTCGGATCTATCTGATTTTGCCGGTGATATCATAGCATTTGCTGTTACACATCTTGAAAACTCTTTATCAGTTGTCACAGGAGATTTCAATACCTGTGACTGTTTTTTTCGTATTTTATGTGATGATGACACTGTTAGACGTGAAACATATAAGTTACTGTGTAATTAGCATAGTGAATCGACCCTTTCATTGTTCATCTTTCTGTAATTCTATGGTGTCACCCTTTCTATCGTTTAATTATAACTTTGCTATTTTTATTTTAGTTGTTATTACTATTATTATTATAATTTTATATTTTTCTCCTTATCCTATACTGTAATTGCTACATAGCTCCTATAAAAACGTTTTGTTATCATTATTATGTATTAATTATTCCGTTTATCAATTTTTTTTGTTGTTGTCGTTTTTGAGTAAATTAGATGCAATACTGTACTGAATGCTGAAAATTCCTTGCTGTATCATCAATACTGTTTTTGGAATAAAGCAAAAATTATTATTAATATTAGGTCATGTCAATATTGTCAAATTTCCAAATCGACTTGATAAAACGCTGGATCTGGTATTTACTAATGATGCGGAAATATATGAAGCACGCAAACGTGCTCCTCTAATGAACTCTGATCATTGTATTATTCGGATATTACCCAAGATATATAGCACCCACGCGCTTCGTGTAGGACGTTACAATCTCACCACATAACGTGGAAATAATTTTTCGCATTCTGGAATATCGTGGTCTATATTTGACTACTACATAATTATAGCTGATATTGCTTGCCCCTCCGGTAGCTAAATATCCAAATTTATCAGCTCCAGAATACTGTTTGGATGCAGTGAGATTCGTGTTAATAAAGAGCAATCTGTCACAAAAGAACTATAGAGAAGTCCTCAGTTTTGTGGTTTATAATTATCAGAGTTAACTCGTTTGATAGCGGTCTATTTTTGTTTGTACTTCATACCTGTTTATTGTTGTTTTTATCTATTTAGATAATAGAACAGTATTTCACACACTTTTGTCAATTTTTGAGAAAATTTTATAATCTTTACCTGCATAATGGTCAAAGTCATTAAACGAGTTAGTACTGTTAAGAGACTAGCATCAAATAGTCAGCAGGACACTAAAAACATCAGTCATGTCGATGGATTTGCACTAAGATCAATCGATACACAGAGAGATTTAGTACCAAACTTAACGGAAGAACTAA